TAATAGAGAATTGTCACTTTTAAGACGATTTTTAATCAAAATGTTCTCAAGTGTGGAAACAAATTAATTGGAACACATGGTCATGTAATGGCCACCGCGCAGTCCTGATCTGACGCCCCTTGATTTTTTCTGTGGGGCTATGTAAAAAATTAAATTTATAAAAATACAACAATGTTTTAGAATTGAATGACGCACTTGCAGCAATTTTCAATAGAATGCATCTGAGTAGAATTTCAGCCGCTACTTGCTCTTTGCGGAAGAGAGCGAATCGATGCATCCGCCAAGGCGGCAATCAATTCGAGCCCTTACTATCATAGACTTTTTATGTTATTTTGCTTTTCGTTATTGTTTTTATTTTGAAATACATAATACGTTGTCAATATGTTAGATTCCTTATTGTTAGTTTCCTTAACTTCCTAGAATAACTGATTACTAAATAGGTCCCTACAAAATGTGTGGTAAAAAGTTATTTTCGATTTCTGACATTTAGAGTACTCTTACCTCAGTTGGTTCCATAGAGAGTATTGATCCTTACCAGAGACCGGATCGAATGGCATAAAAAAGTTTTGTAAAAATTGCCTTTTATCTTGCTGACTGTACCATTTGTTCAAAATCTGTGAATGCCAATCAAAATATCTTCAAAATTCATGGATAGTCTTCTAGAACCGTTTTCCTGTAACTACAACGATTAAGGTAGCTGGCCTTGCTGCCCCGTCTCAAGTTTTCACCCTGTATAAAGAGAAAAAGGGAATGTTATATTTTAAATCAGTAGTATATTTCAACGCCCGGACGGACGGACGGACTACCTATTAACAGCCTTTGTAGTCACAACCCTTGGCCCGTGGGGTTGTGGGGTTCCGGTCCCCTTCATCTGTACAAAATTTTATCCAAAAAATTAATAAAACTATCTGGCAAATCCACAGGCCATAGTTTAGGTTAGGTTAGCATAGCCATACAAGGGGGGAACGCTGCCAGCATCTTGAGCACCTTGCCGCGGGGACCCAATTTTAGTCATATAATTTAAACCTAGTTTTACTTTCTAGTATTTAAGCTTACCTGCATATTATATTCCACCTTATTGTCTAATAAACACGTACCAAAATTCTACAAATTGATGACAAAGAACCTATAAATGTGTAGTTTTTTCGAGATTCTGCCTCTGTGGCCGAACGGTTACCATGCCGTACTGCCATGCAGAGGTCCTGGGTTCGATTCCCAGGCCGGGAGAAATATCCATGGCACCCGCTACACAGGGTTTCCCTAGTGCGGGGCTATGTTGAGTGTGTGCGTTATTATTATTATTATTATTCTGAAAATACCTACTATGTAAGTATGTAAATGAGCAGCTACGTAAATGGCACTATGACAGCCACAAAAGCACAGGTCCTGCGGTATAATAGGCTACTCTTTTCTTCACACTTGCTGCCCAATTAAACAGAACCATTAAGAAAATTTGTTACGTAGTGTTTGTTATTTACAATATTGGCGTATAGTTGCTATCCGAAGACGAACTAAGGTCCAAGACTATACTGATAACAAAGCCAAAACGGAGCTGAGCTGAGGATATATTGCGAGACATTTTCTATCTCTATCTCACCTGATGAAAAGTAATGATGAGATCCACGATGTAGCCGCACACGTAAATGATGCCTATTCACTCTCGCCTTGAAACGATCCAAGTTATAGTATTCTCGGAAAAAGTTCGCTGGCTGGGAATTTACTCTCTAGCCGTTTATCGTATACATGTGGAAGCGAAACGGTTTGTGCGATTCCTTAGAATATCTACAACATAGTGGTCGAACCCCAGCCTACGTCTAGTCTCTCGATGATGGAAAAGGGAAGTCATGTCGACACATACATGATAGATGAAGGAAAGCGATAACCGAATGGTGGTGGACACAAACGTGACATTTCCCGAAGCGAGATGGGTCACGAGAGACACCATCATCAAAATCGTGGGATATAGAAGGGTGAGGCTAGCACAAAATCATAGTGGATGATTTTGATTATGATGATGATGGACTTTTGCTTTTATTTTAGTTGTTTGTTTAGAAATAAGACTTACTTTACAATTCCGCATAGATACCGTCGTCGTATGATTATGTCGCCACCTACTCACCTGTCTGCCGTCTGTCTAGATTACATATTGAGCACAGTGCCACAGGGGATATGTCCTCGGACTCGCTAACCGGTCTCCGTAGAGCAATAATTGGCACGGGTATATCTTATCTATATGTATTATTATTGATTTCCATGTTTCTTACCTATATTGTTTCTTTTGTATTTGTATTCGATTTCACAGCAGTTAAATAATATGAAGACCAAAAGACTAACCAGCTCAACGCAAGTTGTGTTTCAACTGTCACTAGTTGACCGTCTTGGCATAACACTCATGACAATGCAAATTGAACATGTTATTTGATGTAACAACCGTTGATGAACCTAATAAATAAATAAAAATAAGACTAATTTTACATTTTAAATAAATTTTTTAATACAGTTGCTCAAAACGTGGTATTTTTCGCACTACAAATCGTGCGGAAAGTTGGATTTCTCGCACTAGTGCTTTTTACTTTTCCAGTTTTTTTTTAATTTACTGTTGTTTTAAGTCTTAAACATAGAACTAAAGAGATTGTATATTTATTTCATATTTATGTGCTTTGTGACGTAAGTCATTCGTCATTAAAACTTATATTTATTTACAAATACTATATAATGAACGTATCGAGTGGAGGTCCACAGTCTCTGCCTACCCCTGAATAAGTGACAGGCGAGATTTTTATGTATATATTTTGTTCTATGTATTACAGATAAATTGTATCTCACTACCGTGCCCCGTCCTAAAGAAGTTTAAACAAAAGTACCAGGACTTCATAATAAGAAAAGTGGTTACAGACCGATATTACAGAAAATAAACAAAAACAGCACGTTAGAACTAGATACCCATAGACTTTTAAATAATGGTTGCAGTGGTTGTATTTCATTATTTTAATTTACTAGCAGAAAATGAGTTTTTTTAAATACTGTTTTATTTTACTTTCAATGTAGTTTTTTCGCAAATGTATTAAAAAACGTCGTTTGATACACGTGCGGATTTGTCATTTTCACTTGTCTTGCGTCTTGACCCTCGCCTCTGGCTCGGGCCAAGAAGCCTCGAGACTCGTGAATAATGACTAACTTTCCGCACTTGTATCAAAAATAACTATTTTTCTCTATGGGACTAAGTCATGCAGGTAAAGAAATAATTTAATTTTATTATTTATTTATTTATATTATCATAGTCAATTACACGTACTTAATCTTAACTTGTTGAAATAAAACTAATGTAACTTATATATGTACATATATATAAAGAATCTGAATTCTTAAGCTTGAAATGAAAATAGCAAGTGACAAGGCATCAGTTGCTTATAAATTTTATTATCACGATATTTTACATAAAGTTTGTTTCTTAAACATAGTCCTATAAATTTGCATTTATCAATCAAATGAAATGAAATGAAATCAAAAATTTTACATCGTTTTAGTTACAAAAAACATCTAGCCTATGTTAGTAAAAAGGTTGTCATAAGAAGAAGAAAAAAAATACATAACGTTTTTACACCAAGCCTCCAGGAAGCCAGGAATCCATGTGTGTGAAGTTCCAATGTTTAAATGTATTACAGGCAAGGTACTTCCAGACCAACCTTAGAATAATAACGCATAGAATGATAGTTTTATATCAAATGAACTGTCACAAGCGAGGCAAAAATCAAATTCATGTAGGCTAGTTTTAGTAGTAGGTTAATTTTCGGTTTTAGTGAATATTTATATAAAAATACAAGTTGAAACGCGTTACTTCCTTGTGGAATGTGATGTTAGTATCTATTTTATGCTTGCATTTCGTCATTTTTACCTAAAATTCTTGAGCTGTTCGCGGTGCAAGTTGACCTTGAGCATTGAAGGCCCGCCCGCTCGTGTAGGCCCATTGGGCGCGCTTCAATTTGCCTCACTTAGCGTGTGCGGACTAGGTTTCTATGCGTTATTATTCTAAGAGACCAACCATATGAGGCTGTTAGGATTGTCACTCACGCGGCACGTCAGGGAAACAGTTATCTTGTGTATTATAGCACTGAAGTTGTCAGCAACCGCCTTCGCGAACATACCGGATGTACTGCAAAAGCGTGGCAGTCCCAACAGCATCCTAAACTATTATTGAATTGGATGCATAGGGTAACTTGTCCACAGGCTGCTCATTTGTTTTGTTAAATCAAGTGACGGGACGAACAAGTCGTCTGATTGTAAGCTACACGTTGCATAACAGTTGCAGAGCCATTCTTTAAATTGCAAAGATCTGAAGCACACTGCCACGTCCGACAAGCCCCATGTGCCTGTAATTTCACCAGAATCCTTACCCTTCAAAACCGGAACACAGTAATGCTGACGTTACTGCTTGGCGGTAGAAATAGGTAAGGTGGCAGTACTTCCCTGGACGAACTCTTTCACAACTGGCTCTACTGCTACTGACTTCCCCATAACAACGTGCGAACCTACGGGTGAACATATTACAACGAAAGGCCTATATCCTGCGCTCCCTCTCCATAATCGCGAAAGGTTTCGGTGATCCAGTACAAAATGTATTTAAAACGTTAGACACCCTTTATATAAGTAGCCAAATTTTACCTAAATACAATTATCAAATCCACTAAGAGAACAACCACAAGTCTTTATAATTTCTTTACAAAAAAATCTCACTTATGTAAATGTATATTTATATTGATATTTATGTTATTATCATCACTATCCATGTCAGTGTCAACTTTGTTAAAATCCTTATCATTAATCATAACCTGATTTTCATTATTATTTGAATTACTTCGTTCGCAACGAAGGTTACCTTTACGTTTCTTTTCTGTGTAACTGGCATATTCGTCCCTCCATTTTTGACTGCACAGCGTCATGGATTCTCCGTAGCTGCAGCGGCGAAAGACTCTATGGTCTAATCGATTCCTGGAACGGACCCTGACGAGATGAGTACCTTCTGACGTATGATTGACCATGGTTTCTCTGATGCTGGAGTGCTCGCGATATTTGCTTTTCTTCGTTCGAATTCTGCTGCAGCATAACGTCTCTCTAAAGGCGATCCTGTACCTGTGAAGAAATTATGTTGGTTTACTACCCAGCCAGCAGTGGGATGATGTATTTAGAATAGTGGACACTCGTAACATTTAAATTAGTTGCGTTTTCCGCATATGTTATTGGCAATTTGTTTTCAAACCGTAGCTAGGTAGATTAACAAATGAGAATGGTTTACGAAATTCCCTTGTGGAACCTTAATAAGACTTATCGTAGAAATGAATTGGATTTAGCCTGAATTATTGTCCTGATTTAATAACGGGTTTAACGTGCAGATTATTCACTGAAACTCATTAAGGATTACATTAATTGTCTTTATACCAATGTTCTATAAAGTTTCACTCAATTAACTGCTTTAAATTTTGGATTACAGTGAAGGTTAAATATACTGATATTTCAAGAGGTTAGATTGATATTCAACAATTGTCATTCACAAGTTAACGGATTACTCAATCACTCGCCAAATCGCTAAATTTATTATAAACCATCAATACCTCTTGGAAAAGTGCCAAAGAACGTGTTCGGTTGACTAGAATCTCGCATAATATATAAATATAAAATTTTAGACATCTGTGGTAACTGAAAATGAGCTTCAAGCCTGCGTATAAGACAGGATGGAAACTCAGATCTTAAGATGCGTCACAAATTTTCTTGTATTAAAAGACTATAATCATCGGCTTCTTGAATGACACTATCTCAAGTGACTTAGACCATGTAAATACATGTCGATTGATTAGGATTTGCATCGTCTCGTTCGTATCCAATTTTGACATTACTTTTATCGTAAAGTTGTAGTAGATTTCTTGATTCGTTGCGGGATCGACACGCTATCCCAAGGACCGATTTGAAACTCACAACGTTTTTCTGGCTCTTATGGAAATAAAGTTTTTTCTGGCCGACTTAACGCAATTCTGCTTCAATAGGTTCGGTGACGGTCTTAATTGCCATATATAATGCGCGGAAGGTTGCACAACTCTTAAATGATAATTATTTAAGCGTTACGATTGTAACGTGCACTCAATTGGTTGACATAAGTAGCGCATCTTGCATTTCATACTCAACTAATAAATCCATCAATTTGTTGATACGGACCTCAGTGTATATAACACTCATCACGTATAGAAGTGTACCAATAGGAACAACTTACTTCGTGTATATATAACATTTACTGAGTAACATGTAGACGGATCAAGTGGCACGTCTACTGAAGTAATTTATTCATAGCTATTAATTCGAGAGCTCAATGGTAATTTGCTGAAATCGATATCAAAAACAACATGCCGATGTGAATCGAATGATTCAGGATTCGAGAGACCCGAGGCGAAGTGGGAACTCGCATCGAGTTTTTAACTTTCGCAGGAAAGTTTTTAAATTAGAAATGCCTGAAAAACTATTTTAGATTGGTTCATTCATGAAATATGACGATTTCAAGTTTAATTTGTCTGTATAAATATGTTGGTCTATCTCTAATACAAATCAGTACAAACTACTAAAAAAACCGACCTTAAAAGTGTGTGGAATTATATCTATTTATCAAGTTTTATTGAAATCGATTACTGGAAAATGCGTGAAACCGGATTCATTCCGTGGTCTGCCACCCTTAGAGGTGGAGTATTTTTTTTTATTTAAACGGAACTACAACCGAGATAGCCTCTTCCCAACAAAAAAAGAAACATCGAAATCGGTTCACAAATGCGGTAGTCTCGTTGTCGCGTAACATACATACAAGAAAACCTCCCCCGTTTTTTGAAATCGGTTAAAAAATTATTTAATGATTCAGGAAACGAAAAATAAGACATGACAAAAATTCGTGTGATTTTATATTTTTCAGGTTTACGTAACTAATTTCGCCTAACAGAATTTAACTATTACATAAAAATGATTAAATATAAAAGTAAGTATGATAAGTGTTATAAGATGTGTGACGGTCGCCATTTTGAATATTAGGAGGTGTAGCCAGTAGCAACTTGATGAATCATATCAAATCAATCAATCAATCAATCAATCAAATCGTTTATTTGCATAAAACATGGTGGTCATGATAACACAGTAATATTATGTACATATAAGTTCAAGCATGTTTCGCCCGAAGATAATTTAGGCATGCAAAATAAATGAAAAATAGGTCGTCACATGATTACATTTACATTAAGTTATATATAATTAATTTAAATTCTTTTACATAAAAATTATTGTTGAAATTCCCTAATACTGTAATATACTTTATTCTTTAACAATTCATATAATTTAGTCTTAAATAATGTAATGGGCAAGTGTTTAATATCATTTGGTAATCTATTGTAAATTCTGACACACATACACAAACAATTTTGATTACATTTTTCTACCTTAGGTACGTCAAAAAAATTAGTCTATTGGGATTTCTATACTTTCGATGGTTCACGTCAATACTCTTTATAAACAAATGTAAATTATTTTTCACAAAAATGCTGGCTTCATAAATATATAAGGCAGCCAGGGGTAATAAACCAAGATCTTTAAATATAGGTTTACAGGATTCAAACGGAGTCCTACCAGTAATTGCACGTATACATTTTTTTTGCACGTATACATTTTTTCAAAAGCGTCTGGCGGTTACTTCATCATTTTGTAACTGATCATCTTGCACCAGCCTCTTTAGAGAAAACTTCAGTCATTAAATTGATTATTAAACAATACAGTATCATTTCAATTCTTGAATTAAATTATTTTGAGACCAAGTTAAATCTGTGTTAATTCGTGCAATGAAATTGCCTCGTTTAATAAAGTGCTGTTTGAATGAACAAATAATCAAATCGCGTTCTAATTATTGATCCTACTTTGAGTTAATCAACTGAAAGCAACAGCTGCTAGTGTGGATAACACTGACCGAAATTCGGTAACAGAATTTTGGAAACATTCGGTTTAATTAGACCGTACTAAACACAAGAATTCTCGTATAAATTCTGGTATAGCACATTGAACAGGTAGATTGGTTTTTGGATTTATGTACAATATAACATAGGACGACGCTGCTTATCTCCTGGATGTTCACATGTGTTTATTTTTTAAGCGATTTCTTTGGTCTTTCTTAATCGGGAATCACGGGCTATAAATTTACGTCATGTATAACTTTGAATGCTCGTAGGTGTAGATATAACGAAAAGTTTGTTTTGCTAAAGTCGACGATAACATAGTGTATAAAGTTTCAGAAGTTGAACGAAAAACAACACTCTGATATGCTAATACCGTGAATAATTTTAGATACAAATCAACAGTTACGATTGAACTCAAGGTGAAAGCTTAAAGCCGGGCATGCGTTCAATTAGCTTCAAATTTAATTTAAAGTTAGCCGGGTTGTCATAGATGCTGTGAAATTTAAAAGTAGTTCTTAGTTACTTTCTTAAGGGTTTAAAATGTAGACAGATGGATGCACAAAAAGACAAAAAATTCCCGATTTAAGGATTCTTTATTTACTGTTGAATTAAAATTGTAAAGGATTTCAAAAGTTATCTGATTGAATTTAGGCGTATTAAAAAACTAATCTTGCTTACAAAGGAACTGTAATGATTCTTTGAATGAATGTTGATTGCTATATAGTGTTATTCAGCCTTGGTACTTGGTACAAGTCTTTGTTAACCACAAAAATCAAAAATCCTGCAGTTGATGGACAAAATTCTTACGGTTTGACCCTAATTTGCTTTCAGTAAAGTCATATTGAATTCTTGTGTAAAATTCATATCATTTAACTCTGGATCGCAAGGAATCTGAGTGTCGGGGAAGGTTTATAAATCGTATTGAGGACACGTCTCAACCTGGAAGGTAAACTCTCAAACTATTCCTTTAATTTGGGGTAATTTATTGGTGTTGCCAGTTTAATCCCTGTCTCGTGACACATTTAAGATACTTACTCCTCTAACCAATATTACAATTGGTAGGAAAATAGAAGAGGAGAGCAATAAATGAGGCTTCTTTTTTGTTAACTCTAGATTCTGACGGGTTTTCTAGGCTTTCCACTTTATTACATGTATTGTAAATGTGATTATGAATTAAATTGTCTTTTAAAACTGAGAGGATGTTTGTTATTTAATAATGCCGAAAGGGTGGAACAAGTATGGAAGTTTACCGGAAAGGTGATGTGATATTATGGATGATGTTATGTTGTGAATTAAACATATCTAGTATTCTCGTAGCAGGTAAAGTTCGTCCAGGGAAGTACTGTTTCATATATTATCATAGCTATTTCTGCAGCCAAGCAATACTGCGATCAAGCAAGACTGCCCCCCGGTTTTGAAGGGTCAACTTTGTGTCTTAGGGTGACGGGCGCAGCGGCAGTGACTTTTTGTAATTTAAAGCTCACTTCTTCTTCTTCTTCTTCTTCCTGTCCTTATCCCACGCTAGGTGGGGTCGGCACAACATGTATTTTTCTTCCACTCTCCCCTATCATCCGTCATTTTATACTCACACCTTTCTTACCCATGTCATCTTTCACACAATCCATCCATCTTTTCTTTAAAGCTCACTTGAAATCATAAAATAACATACATGGTTTATTTGCGGAATAGGTCTATTCACGTGCAATTAGTATTTTGTGTAGCGTTCTTTTGTCCTAGATTTGGAATATTTGGAATACAACCCACTAGCTCTCACAATGCTGCACACGGGCTTCCTCCGAATAGCGGGTTTTGCCGCCACAGAGATTCGAACCATCAACCTCTTGATTAAGGAGCACACCTTCTCTTGTTAGCTACCACCGTTCATATCCATCCAATCCTACAGTAGCGTAACGCCTTTTGAAGTTCGGCGACTCTGCCGCCCGTGTAGGTACTATTCATGCTTTCATACGCAGATATGCAAGACATACAAGAGATATACAAGAGTTTTCAATTATTAAATTTAATCATATAATGTATTCGTATTCGGATGAAATGTTTACAAATAAAAATTGGGAGAAACATGAGCACAGGCGTGATTTAAATTCTACTTTACTTAGTAACTCGAGTAATTTATCTTCGAGTATAATATTGACGTCGAATTACATCCGTACACAGAACAGTTTGTGTGCGCTAGGCCACCTAGTGGAAGAAAAGGTTGCTTCTTGAGTGAGAGGTCGGTGACTTTTATATCTAAGTTACTTTCATTTGTGAATGATCCCAATCCCCACTGGGCCAACGCGGTGAACCATGGCCTAAATATCTCCTTGCAGATTTTATTCTCCGTACAATGGGCTAAAGATGATAATGATAACTTTAATTACAGTACTAACAATGCATTACTCTATTATATCAATCAAAAACTCGTTATTTATAGGGGTTTGCACGATGTTGTTTGGAAACAATAAAACTATTTATTCGCAGACGTGATTCAGCACCGGCTTTGGCAAAAAGTGAAACGAGTGAAGCGAAACTTTAACAGAGCGGACTCCTTACCTGTGACTCATGACATTATAAAGAATAGGATTGACAGTGGCGGAGACGTAGTATAGCAGGCCGGCGACGCTGAAGAGGTACTGGTTGATGGTGTGGTAGTACAGCGAGCCCGTGCCGTAGATGTAAAAGAGGCGTTGGAAGTGAAACGGCGCCCAGCACACGAAGAAAGCGATTACTACAGCCGCTGTGGAAGATGTGGATGAGTTAATGACCATTTACGTGAACTGAAAAGTATTTGTAACGGGATCAATTTGCGAAGATTGTACTATTAGGTATTCTGTGTGCAAGCCGTTAAACAACGGGCACGGCATGAGGAGGCGCGGGATAGGGAGGCTCGGTGCCCCGTCGCCAGCGAGCAGACACGCACGCGCACTTTATTTATAATTACACTTTAATTTCAAATACCTACGTACCTAATGTAATTTTCCCTTTGGCTTTAAAATACAGTAACTAACTAAGTATTTGTGTATAATTTCGTGTTAAACATGGGGACCATATAGCTATTTAGTACTTCGCATAGAACCATTGCAAAATGGCGACCTCAGTGGCCCAACAGTTTCCACTGTGGGCACTAAATGAGGAGGTCCCGAATTCGATTCCCGGTAGGACCAATTGCTTCTGATAGAGTATTTTGAGAATAGTGCATTGATCTGGTACTCACAGTAGATGGAATTCCCTAAATTGATACCAGACATTGGTGTGTTGTTAATGAAAAAACAAATCATAAGAATTAATTCATCCTCATTCATAGACAATAGTTAAATAATTTTAAAGTGGACATATGAAACAATAGAAGCAAATAATGATGAAGAATAATCTGCACCTGACGTCGGTCAGAGCCAATTGGAGCTGCCCAAAACCTTGAACACAAAGCACTAAAAACTTAGTTACAATATCTCAACGTGAGAAACATAAGATCAGATTCCACGGTTAATTCAAATCCACTTTTACATACGGCTGCTGGTTTAAATAACTCACGCTCACTAACTAACAACTATATTAAACATGCGGTTTTAATAACATTGACGATTTTATTCCCATTAGAATTGTTTATTATGTGAATTCATAGACTACTAAATCATGTCGTAATGGCTGAAAGAATTTGGATGGAATTATGTAGTTAAGGGGCAAAAATGGTTTTAATTTTTTTTTCATGTGTAATAGACATATTCTTAAGAACAATCTCACCTGATGTTAAGCGACGATGTGACCGACGATGAGACGCGTTTGCCTAAAAGTATGCCTATTCACACTAGCCTTGAATAGCCCCAAATTGTAGAAGAGTATTACATTCACATACATTCACATACATATTTAACTGCCTCCGTGGCCGAACGGTTACCATGCCGAGCTGCCACGCAGAGGTCTCAGGTTCGATTCCGGGGCCGGGAGAAACATTTGTATGGCCTACATTTATTTCTCTCATGAGTTTGGGTGTAATTTGTGGTTGTCTATGTGTGTGTCCATGGCACCCGCGACACAGGGTTTCCCTAGTGCGGGGCTATGTTGAGTGTGTGCGTTATTATTATTATTATTATTAAAATTCCCTTTTCATTCAATTTCTTGTTATGTTAGTTGTGTTCGGTGTGTATATTTACCGAGCATCCGGATAATGGTCTTCCTGGATTGCGCTTGGCGTGCCTCGCCGTGCACGCTACCATTCACGCCGTTCAATGTGCCCGGGCTGCCCGGCTTGTGCGCGTGCGTCGATCTGAACAAAACACATTCTCGATATTTAGAGGCAGCATTTTAAATCACATTTTACAGTACAGCTTGGTCCAAACTCGTGATTAATCTGTTCATTGTTCATAGTCCCTATTAATTGCGAGTTCTTTTTTACTTCTGTCACGTTATTCGGCACAATTTAAAGTTTTTTAATTCGAACAAATTAAAAGTTGCAAACGTGAGGGCGCAACTTAAATTGTTATCGGACGAGATTGAAATAAAGACGGAATAATTGTGTAATTAAAAATTGTGTCAAGTTTTTCATAATAATAAGTAAAATCTTCGTAAAAACGAGACAGACATTTCTAGCTCACGGAGCTTCGTAAAGCTCTAGTTAATTAGTACGTCAAGGAAACACCTTCATTTTTCAAAATGACTGTGATTATAGATTTACATAGATTTTACGCGAGGAGTTCTAGTGAAATTATTTTAAGTTGTAAGGATTATTTTGATTGGTAGATGCTGCAGTAGAGCTGCTTGTGAAAGAGTTTGTTCAGGAAAGTACTGCCATCTTACCTATTTATGCCGCCAAGCAGTAATGTGAGTGTTTCCGGGGAAATTACAGGCACATGGGGCTTTTCAATGTATAACTCAGAGTGGCGGGCGCAGTTGCAGTGCCCTTCAGATCTTTGCGATTTAAAGCTCTGAGCTGTACTGCAACTGATATGGGTAGTCATTCCATTACTTTGTACCAAAAAAAAATAACTACGCTACAGAGTGTAAACTTAGCGACAGAAGGATCACCGATAAACGTGTACTTTGTCATACACAGGTTATAAAGGCGTTTCCATAATGGATTTTGAATTATTGTGTTGTTTTGTACTATGAAGTGACGGGATAAACGAGTGATGGAAGCGGCACACCTGTCCATAACAGTTGCTTTGCCGTTCAGAGCTTTAAATCGCAAAGATCTACTGGGCACTGTCACTTAGCCTGTCACCCCGAGACATAAGCTGACATGTCCCATATGCCTGTAATTTCACTCGCACTCTTACCGTTCAATACCGGAACGCAGTAATGCACACATAACTGTTTGGCGGCAGAAATTGGTAAGGTTAGGTTAGGTTAGGTTCCCTGGGAGCTCGAGGCGTCCGTCCTCGAGCAGACCTACAGGTGCCGTGCGGAAGTCAGGGCACTTGGAGAGCGCCCCACACTAGAGGAGCTAGTGGGGGTTCGGCGTGCCGCCAAGACCGCCGTCCAGCCGGGGTGGGAGGAGGCACTCCGATCGGCCAGATAGCCTTGGAGGTGTGCCCGACCTGGAGCCAGCAGCGCCGGGATCTCGTAGAGGTGGTGGGACGAGACCTCTCACTGCCCAGCATAGTTAGAGCCATGCTGGGAAGCGAGAGGTCATGCCAGGCGATGGTTTCCTTCTGCGAGGACGTGATGTCGCAGAAGGAGACAGCCGAACGGGTCCGCGAAGACAGCGCCCTCTCGGACCCCATTCGGCGTCGGCGGAGAGGACGCACGCGACGGCTCTTCGCCGACCGCCTGCGTCCCATCAGCGGAGGCCAGCAGGGTGCGGGGTTGGGAGACCCTGCCCCTGCATTGCACAGGCCTCCGCCGCCGGTAGATGCTCCAAATGTTCCGGGGCATCTCCGTGTAGGTCGCCCCCCATGATTAAGGGGGCGATGGTGTAGGGGTCTGCCCAAAGGCGGACCAGCACCACCGGAGTCGCGGTAGCATCTGAAAGGGACCCCGCGGCTCCGGCGCCAGGTGCGCGCAGGAACATCGTGAGGTTTTTAGTGGGTATGCTCTTGGGGATCGACATAGTCCCCAGGAGAGAGTCCCACATATCCCCGCCGTCTCCCAGCGGCGGGGAATGCGTAACGCATTTTCCTCACGATAATAAAAAAAAAAAAATATATAGCATTACTTCCCTGGACGAACTCTTTCACAAGGTGCTCTACTGCTTTTTAGGTAAACATTCTTACAAATAATTTGCATACTACATTTGGCTAGTCTGTGTAATTAAGAAAAAAATTATAAAATAAATAAAATGTGCATTTTATAATAATTTCCAATGGAAATGTTATTGCCATTATCTAATTAACGTGTTAAAAAAGTAGAAACGAACTCAATTTTTGCAATTCGTAATATTTTTCATAATAATTTTCTTGAAAAAGCTGCGGGAATACGCAATAGGATGGATATTCGTGTATATCTGAAATGAAATGACGTTGGCTGACGTTAACTGACGTAATTACTGACGTTAACGTCAAATATAGGGAAACACTCAGCTTCGCCTCTATAGTTGGATACATATAACATAATTACACTGGCAGCTCTTTTACAGCGACTACGTAACCTTGTAGTCAAGTATTTTTATTAGAAACACATTCTACCCTGTATATTTTTCCACAAAAACTCTATATTTGCTTATTTAATATTTGTGCAATGGTATATATACAAATAGGTACTTTAATACAGTTTTGGATAATAGGTAATAGGACAATTAATAAAAAGATCGAACACTAAGAAAATTCCTTTTATCAGGGTGGATTCGAACCAGCACCTTCTGCATACCAGCGACTGAGCTATGGAACAAACAAGCGGATCTTACAAATTTTTATAATGTGGTTTTTTTTTTTTTTTTTTTTTTTATTGTGACTCGGCAAAATGACTGCACCGCGCCTGATGGAAAGTGCGAATACAGTCCAGAGATGAGAGTAACGGATGGAAAACACAAATATCTTCACTCCGTCACTATCATTTTGCCGGTCTGGCCAAATGCTTCTTCACACTACGTTTGAAGGACCCGATGTTATAGAGGGGAGGGAATACATGCGCCGGGAGTTGGTTCCACAATTTGATGGTTCGGCATAAGAACGAATTGCCAAACTTTTTAGTGCGGGACGGTATTAAACTGACCGTCCAACTGTGGCAACGCAGTCCGGCACGGGTGGTCCGCTGATGGAAAGGAGAGGAAGGGATAAGGTTGAATAACTCTTCAGAGCACTCACCGTGGTACAGGCGATAGAATACGCTAAGGGACGCTATATCTCTGCGAAGCTGTAACGACTCCGCATGCTCAGTTACATGAGGATTGTTGAGAACACGTGGTTGTTGTGGTGTGACTTTTTTGTCGTAGCGCTATTATGCGAGAAACTTATAAAATATTTCTTAACGCATGATGTTTGTATTAATAATTATAACAACCTAGTGGAGTATCTAGTTGCACAAAAATAGTTGATTATTATTGTATTAAAAAGTCGTGATATTCACATTAATATTTCAATTGGAAAATTATAAAAATATCTAAAACGTAGTCGAAACAGTGTTTATAATAAATAAAAACGATTATTCAATCAATGTTTATTAAATAATACACAATGAATTGAATAAACAAAATTTCGAAATTGTAATTTTTAATCTGTTACGCAAACAATCACCACATCACGTAAGTAAGCAAAGAAACCCCACTGTATTCACCGTTTGCATATTATCCGGTGTTATTTCTCTATTTAAGCAGTTTTAACTGAAAACTGTAATCAATCAATGAGTAAATTTGTCTCAAGCGACAAGTGCACATTGTCGACTTTGGTTGCCTTCCAATTCGCACCGTTCGCGCGGCAATACAATTTTAATTACATTAACGACAGGTTTAGGGCCTTGAAAAGCTTTATTTAAATAAAATAAAGGTTTACAAGGCAGTATATACTCACTATGGTTAATTTTAAAAATTAAGTTAAATATATTTTGGCTTTAATTACTTCAAGTCTCAAAAGAATAAATAGGGCTTGTTGGTTTACAAATCTGTTATAACTCCTTTGTTTAATTGAACTAACCGACATTCTAGTACATCATTAAAAAGTAATTTAACTGAAACAGTGAGTAGCACTCTGATATTATATGATATGATATTAGAATGTAGAGACAAAAGTGATAGATAGTTGACAGGCACTACTAAATTCCGATCGCCATTAAACATGCCATACCTTGTGTCTAATGGAGCTCTCAGCACATCTAAACGTATATTGGAATTTATACAGCGGATTTACGCCTAGCTGAGTGCGTCTATCAATGAAATATGCCATGTGGTGACCACGCGGCGTAGTTATCATTGGTAGTATACGTAGCAGTCGGGATAAGAAAAATATCTGCTAATACACTGTGAAAAAAAATTGTAAGAACAAGGAGACGAATTTCGCAAAAACCTTGGCAGACGTCGACCGCAAATACTTTTTGGTAGTTTCAGAATCTTACAATAGACATAAGTCAACCCTCAGCGCTCGAAAAGCAACAAGTGGTGGGAGGTACTGAAGATCGGAACGCCGCGCTCGAAGCCGTAAGAAAACGAAATCAGTGGCCCTAGCATGGCAATATAATGTGTGATAAATCTCCCCGTGATAATATTTATTTCAGTTGCTAAACGATGTTGCCATTTTTTTTTATTGCGGTAAGATCACGCACTAAATAGAGCTTTTGATACCGGAATGTTGGTTTGTTTTAAAAAGCAAATTTTCTTGTAATACTTTGCAACCAACCCACATAGTATAGGTATCTTTTTCCATCGCATCAGGAAGGACGCTCTAAAATCGTCGCAGTGTCTCAAAACAATGATGGAAAAAATTCTATGTTGCATGTTAACGTAATTTATGACGTTATTTTGAGCCAATAATAATAAAAAAATACGCTTTTGTTGAAACCTTATTTCCAAGAAGTCCTTCATTCAATATCTAAGTATAACGCAAAATTTGTACCCTATACCTATTATTACATTAACAACTTCGCGACAATGTAGCACCTGGTCGAAGTTTCCAGTTCCGCTCGAATATCAGGAGAACTCAAATTCGGAGAACATCTTAGAAGTTTCAGTTAGTTCCATTCGCTAAGACAATGAGAGCTACTTTACAAGACTTTTTGTTGTAATGTAATATTCATTGTATCAACAACTTGTTTAATATTCCAGAGTAATTATGAAATAAAGACACTTTGATTATAAAAACAGCTATCTAAGTTGGATAGCCAGTACCAAAGGAAGATCGCACGCGTTAATAGTAGGTTTCATCACTTTATAGTGCACTATAGGAGAAACAGAGATCTATAAAAATAGGATTCGTTTTATATATTGGGGTTGGCGACCTCCTTGTTGGATAAATATAACTTGTTGCGAAGTCAAAGTGTATATATTCTAACGTAGATGTTGTTCCAAAGTTGAAAATCTGCTTCCAGAATAAGTAAATAGTTGAAAAATGTCGGAATTGGAGAACATTTGAGGATTTCTAGGGCGAAGATTAAGTTCCGGAACAACCGCTTTTTCCCTGCAGAGTGCGGGGTCAGATTTTAGAAATGTACAAGGTTCCAGTATGCAAAGAATTGGGAGCGTGAAAAGAATAGTCGACAGCAGTCAGTAGATCTTTAACCGTAAAAAGATGGCACACATCGCTTGTTGTCTTACTAATTTGATTTGATTTACTAAGCTATCTGTGAATGACATTATCTAGTCTCCATCAGGGTATCTTTGTTTACAAATGTCACGTTAGTTTGGCAGCTCGTTCTGTTAAGCTGATGGTCAATGCTTTATAAACGTGCGTGCATTGACAATATGGGCTTTTTTTGAGAGTCACTTGGAAAGTGAATAACCAAACGCGGCCGCTCGCTGTGAATTCACCGCGTGACATTTCGTATTTTCGAAATCCGGTCTATCTTATGTTTTTTCAAGTAAGTGGATAAAGAAATTAATTGCAATCAATTAATTTGTTTTGACTTTATTATTTCATGACTGACTGAACAAATTGATAACGAAGAGTGAATAAGTCAATTATAATTCACGAACTTCTTGTTTAATTCGTAACTAAATCAGTGTTAAGGTGTTTTTGTTTGTGAAACCTCTGCATCAGGTTGTTGAAAAAGAAGGTAAGACCCCCAGCGTGCGTTATCAGCCATAAGTAGCAGCCATATTTGAAGCAGCAGTGTCAACAATTCTATTTCTTTTTATAATATCAAGTAAATGTCTGTTCATAACAGTTACAGTGCCACTCAGAGCTTTAAATCGCAAAGATCTGAGGGGCACTACCCGTCACCTTGAGACGTACGTTGACAAGTCCTATGTGCCTGTAGTTTCACAAACACCCTTACCTTTCAAAACTGGAACACAGTAATTCTGACATTACTACTTGGTGGCAGAAATAAGTAAGGTGGTAGTACTTCCCTGGTCGAACTCTTTCACAAGGACCTCTCCTACTACTACTGTTTCGCTCGACGTCTCCCTTTCGGTCGTACATATACCTAATAATATTAGTACAATATGTTTGTGCCATCTCATGCCATTCACCATTGTAAAGTAGAATATCAAAAAATTGGAATGGCAGTTGAATAGCAGCTCGATGGGTAGCCACTACTCTTAAATTTGAACAGAATACCAAACGTACAAAATCCTACTACTAACTCTCTATCGATATACAACTGAGATGATTTAAGATTAGCAGTCTTGGGGATCAGTGCGTGTCCACCTATTTGGTTACGTGACCACGAGTCACGGCGAACAAAGCTGCACCTTCCGTCAGTTTATTTTAAGATTTTCGAATTTTCACTTATAACCCATGGGAAGCCACTTACGCTTGGTAATATTGTATAATCCAAAATTTTGTTTGAACGTGAAAATAAATTCTTTAACTTCAAATAGAAATTGCTTGACATAATTTGTAAGAGTAAAAAGCATCAGATTTCCCAAAAATTATTTACAATGGTTCATCGTCGGAGGGAAAGTTAAAGCATTCCATCGGCTCCCGAGGGATCTGCAAGGAGAGACGCGTCTAATCTTATGCAAAATTAATCTCGTGAATTAATCTTCTTTGTTTATCAAGAAGTGCACGTCTTTATCTTACAAGGTTTCGCGGTTAGATACATTTTCTTAATGTTAGTTTTTAGAATAACGCAAGTATGAAATGCAATATTAAAATAAAAGGAATATAGTACTTTGTTTTACTACGTCAGAAAGTAGGTTATTGCAAAAGGACTAGACACGAGGGTATAACCGTCACGAGTTCGTAGGACGTTCTTCAAAACATTTCTGAGAAAATGGCTTGTTGTTCTGTTTTCCTTATCGTGAAAATTTCAAAAGCCGCTATATATTTATTGATGAATTTCAGAAGGAAGCAATGTTGTTGCGTTACTAAAAAAAAAACAAAGCGCGAAATAAATTCCATAACATCCACCGAAACACTTGAAGTAATCGTATTTGAGTGTATTACAAAATAAAACGAAACGAAGAATAATATTTCGTAGTAATTTACACACATACTCACACGCAAGCATAAAGGTTCTCCTCAAGAGCTCCTTGTGAAATTGCTCGTCCAGAAAAATATTGCCACCTTACCTATTTCTGCCGCCAAGCAGTAATGTCATCATTACAGCGTTCCGGTTAAGAAGGGAAGGGTGCCGGTGAAATTACAAGCACATGGGACTTGTCAACTTATGTCCCAGGGTGACAGACGCAGTGGTAGTGCCTCTCATATCTCTGCGATTTAAAGCTGAGTATACTCTAACTGAGATGGACAGGCGTGTCGCTTACCATCAGGCGCGCGACTTGTTTGTCCCGTCACTTGGTATTATAAAAAAAGGTTAGTTCATAATTGAAACAAAATCTAAAGCAGAAACTGGAACACATGCCCCACATTTTTTTTGGTAATCTGTTCATGCACTTGAAATCTGTCGTTAATAAATATTTTTTGAAATAATTTACGTAACTTAACCAATTCAAAACAATTAGATTAAAATTACTTACTTAATTTTAATCTAATGTTTAATTATTGATTTATCTAGAGAATTAAAGTGTTCGTTCAACATTGGCTTCAAAAAAATTCAATTACTTTACGAAGATATCACCGCTATAGAAAAAACAATTTTCGGATCAACTGATTATTGAAAATATTTTTTTTCGGACGTCGTCGTAAAGTTGGAAAAACCATTTTAATAAAAAAATTATTTCTGACTTGTTCAGTTCCACGGGCAATTTCCAATTTAAAAAAACTTTATTTAATATCCTGAACAATATGGAAAAATTTGTGATGAAAAATGTGTTGAAAAATTTCATTACTAACTGTTTTCTTCATTCCTTTAACAGGAGACAAAAAAATGTCATGATACATACCCCATAACGTACCTGATGCGCAAGCCCATGCGGACGTAGAGCGCGAGGATGATCAGCCCCGGTAGGATGAAGAACAGCAGGCTGCTCAGCTCGCACAGGTACCAGGACGGCAGCTCCAGCATCGCGCAAAACGCTGACTCCACTGAATAGTTGCCTGAACCTGGATGGGAGAAGAGCAGTGATTAGAGCCTAGTTTTAATTAATACGAGGTGAAAGTTCGAAATCGTTTAAAAGCCATTTAGTTCTCAGTGTAAATGGCGTGATATTTAAGTGCACATTAAACTAAGTACAAAATTAATTTTAGTAAAGACTTAAGGCCATATTCCATGAAATAACAGACGACAGAGGCAAAGAGTAGCATAACTACAATTTATAAGAGGCCTAAAGTCGTTCAGAATGACAAACGGCTACTTTTTATTGCAGAGAAATTTTTGCCAAAATCATTTCATCGTTTCTTTGGCTTAAGTCAAATGAAGTTAGGAATTTATTTCATTTATGACACCAGTTACTTTGCATATGAATTTTTGTAGAAATTTACCAGGTACTAAATTTGTTACAATCATGTTAAGCGGCATCTCAACTCAGGGTTGGGTAATTTTCAGGTTTGTTTTCTCTACCTAATTTCAGTGGCAATTTTTATTATTCAAATGTTCCAGATATTATTATGAAGTATTTGTTAATATTTGACAATAATATACTCGGTTACTTAAATAGTGATAAAAATTACCACCGAAATTGGATAGCGAAAACTAACCTGTAAATTTCCCATACTTATTTCTTTGGAGGTGCATAAATTAACACTAAGAATTTTAAATCGAATCAACCCGTAAATGGCGGACGGGTGCCAAATTTGGTGGTCTTTGTGTTATAAAAATCGATGTGGAAAACACAAACAGCGTTGCTTTTATTTACCTTAATTTGTAAATACCTCTAGTTTTTTCTCGGCAATCTTCAATTTATTTACGTCCTAGATTATCCTTTTCCTTAGGTTTCCAAATAGTTTTGGCCCATAGTTCACAACACAGAGTTGCTAGTTGAGGAGTTGATAAAAAAATGTCGAATTCTCACACAGTTATTTATAAAGCAAAAGCAAATTATTAGATATGAAATATTTCAGACATACTTGGACACGATTTATTCCAGTTCGTCTAATAATGACTGATTTTTTAGTCCTTTGCCACATAATTGACGTTTATTCTTAATAAAACATTAAAGGGCAATTTTCACAATAATTACGCAAAAAGGTTCATAAGAAGTCATTTTTCATAACAATAACGAAGCCTAGACCTAATTAATGGTGATTATTGGATCAAATAACCATTAATGTTATTAATGAGGGGTGCATGAAAGGAGTCTCCCCGCACGACGAACCATTGTTTCCTGTACCTACGTTCGCGCACCTTGGGCAGCAGTCAGCGAATACCTTACACCGCTGGCAAAATCTTTCACCACCATGGCAAGCATAATAGTATGCTATCGATACGATAAAAAACCCCATTAATGTTTGCAATTACATAGAAAAACAAAAAACCAGAACAAAATGTTTACAAGAAGTCCCAAATTATTTACAAATATAATACACTAAAATTCTTAATGTCGTGCCAGCTGCGGCAATTAAAGGGTCAGTATTATCTGGAAAAGCAGTGCGATCTTAGCACTGCTGCTGCATTTGAGACTCCATTTTGTTTGACCCAGCTGCACCTGGTTACCTCAGATGTACTTACATTTCAATTACAAAGCCTTTTAACCTGGGGTACGAACTTTGATCTCCGCGTAGCCTTATCTAAGGTATCTATTCCTTCTCACCGTATTTGTGTGCTCTGCTCCATGTAGGACAATTTCATACAAACTATTTTTCAAGCGCATGTTGGGCAAGGTTTTCTTCTTTATTTTTATTGCTTTCAGCCTTAGTCAGGACTTCATAACGTTGCTTTGAGTACTTATATACTATCATAACATGTTATGCAATTTTTATTTTAAATACATTGAATTAACCATCAACTTTTAGCTTCATGTATCGTGTTATTTCTGCTGAATTTTAAATGATCGGGTGGGTGGTGTGACCTTACTCGCGGGTATCTTGTTGCAAGTTTGGTACGGTGGGCAATGGATTTAAGTTTTCCTTGTTTTTGTATTATGGCATACACATTAAATAAATAAAGAATTCTGATATTGTGATTAGATGGAAGGAAAAATATTAATAAAATAAACTCCCAGACATATAAATCGAGCCACTTGGCATTTTTATTCTTGAAGGGCAGAACACAAAAATATTATTATCACTGAAGAAAACACTTTTTCCTGGTTTTATAAATGCAAATTTTCAACAAGGACTGATGGAAATGACGTTTAGTATACCAATTTCAAAATAGTTTTGTAGTTTTTGATCAATCAAACATTGTTTAAACTTAGGCCAATTAATACTGAAAATGCAAGGTGGCTCGACTTACGTGTCCGGGAGTGTATTTCTTTTAAATGTCTTATCTCTAAGTAATCTGTTGTGAAATCGCATCATAACGAAATAAACTCCTTTCTTTATCCCATTTAGATGATTGTCCTTAACAAATGGCTCGCTGTCAGCCTTGTTGCCGTTCCGTCAATGTGGCAATAATATGCGCGGCACAGTGTGGTATCTAAAGCAAGAGAGGGGCGGAGAGTGACTTTACTCTTTACTTTTTTATTCTCTGACCGAAGTTCGCATTTTGCAATTAAACATTTCACGAATCGCCGTTGAATAGGCTCTATTCTTTCTAACCAATGACACGAATAATACCTATTCTTAATGAGTCGGGGTTTCTGAGGTCCTTAGTGATTGATAGCTATAGAGATGACTGTACATCAAGCTCTCAGTTAATTGAACAATCCAATTCAGTGTACCATTAAGCCTGTAATTGGTGACATTGACGTTGTCAGAAGATAATTGGATTCCTGATGTACCATAAGGAGGGAAACACACCACTAGACAATGACATGATAGATAATGGTTAGTGGTTTCACGAGAGCTGCAACACAACCACAATTACGAGTAGGTGGAATTCCATCAGCACCGGTCTTACCTACTGCCACCTTGCTTATTTCTGTTGCCAAGCAGTAATGTTAGCATTATTGCGTTCCAGTTTAGAAGGGTAAGGGTGCTGGTGAAAATACAGGCACGCAAGCGACTTGTCTACTTATGTCTCAGGGTGACGGGCGCAGTGGCAGTGCGCCTCAGATCTTTGCGATTTAAAGCTCTGAGTGGCACTGCAACTGTTATGGACAGGCGTGTAGCTTACCACCAGGCGCACGACTTGTTCGTCCCGTCATTTGATAATAAAAAAAAGATGCACTAGCACTGCGCCCGTCACCCTAAGACATATGTTGACAGGTCCCATGTGCCTGTAATTTCACCAGCACTGTTACCATTCAAAATCGGGACGCAGTAATGCTTAAATTACTTCATAACGGCAAAAATAAGTAGTTCATTTAAGACCAGTTTAGACTGAATCTAAATTGAGAAATCTCTTGGTATCATTTAATATAATGTTCAATTAAGTTACTTTAGCAAAGTCAAAGTCAAAGTCAAAGATTATTTATTCCATAGGTAAAATAAATTTACACTTGAAAACGTCACATTTAAGCTACGCTCGTTCACTACGCTGACCTCCCTGAGAAGAACAAGAATTTAAATGCTATGGAATACACTTTGAATCAAATTTTTGTGGATTCTGGAGCCGTGTCGTCTTTCCATACATCTTTATCTAACACGTAGTCTTCAATTTTGTAATTTGATTTTTCGATCAAAATGTTTTTAATGTAGTTTTTAAATTTAAGAAATGACAAACTTAATATATGCTCCGGAATCTTATTGTAAAAACATATACAGTTCCCCATAGAAGAGTTGTTTACCTTGGTTAAAGGAAATCGTGGTACCATGAGTTTGGACTTAGCTCTAAGGTTAATATTATAGATATCTTCTTTCTTATTGAAATTATGTATATTTTTACGGGCTTATAAAATAATAATAATGATAATAATAATAATAACACACACACTCAACATAGCCCCGCACTAGGGAAACCCTGTGTCGCGGGTGCCATGGACACACATATAGACAAGCACAATTTACACCCAAACTCACGAGAGAAACAAATGTAGGTCATACAAATATTTCGCCCGGCCCGGGAATCGAACCTGGGACCTCTGCGTGGCAGTCCGGCATGGTAACCGTTCGGCCACAGCGACAGTTAAAATATTTGAGTAAATGTACTGTGATGCCACAGACATGATACCAGTCTCCTTAAACTTTTCTCTGAGAGAAACCCGAGAGTCTAGACGGTACACAGAACGAATCGCTCGTTTTTGCAATACAAATATGGTTTGAATATCTGCCGCTTTACCCCACATGAAAATCCCGCAGGACATTACTATGGAAGTAACTAAAGTAAACTAGTGTAGCAGTACTAATATCGGTAAACTCGCGTATGCAGCGGAGCTTAATCTGATGGCCAGGGAAGACATACATATGTGGAAACCATTGAAGTTTACTATTTAAGGTCACTCCCAAGAAGACTGCTTTATTAACAAAGTCTAACTTTTCTCCGTTTATTTCTATGCTTGGACCAGTCGATTTTACGTTAGGTAATTCAAATTTAACACATTTTGTCTTCTTGGCACTAAGCAATAAATTGTTAGTATTAAACCAATAAATTACCTTAGAGGGGGTATCATTAATATGGTCATAGTCAATGTCATGTCTATCTGTTTTAAAAATCAAGGATGTGTCATCAGCAAACAACACTATTTCGCAATGGTCCTTAACAAAGAAGGGCAGATCATTAATATAAATCAGAAATAAGAAAGGTCCAAGCATTGAGTCCTGCGGAACACCCATTTTTACCGGAGAACCCAAAGAAGTCACTCCATTTATGTCTATAATAATAATAATAATATAATATCTTTTTATTGAGTCAATACAATTACATGGTATCTTAAAAATTACATGACATTATTTAAGGAACATTTTAAGTATGGTTGATCTATAGCGCCCGTACTAGTTTTTAATAAAACTGTATGACAGACGCTACGTCTTCCTCCAGATTTCTTACAGACATTATAATGCCAAAGACATTTAACACGACAAGAGAGTGCAGGTAAAGTATGACAAATAAATTATAATAAACTATGTGTGGTGTGAAGGAACGTGAGTGTCTGTGTATGAGTGTGTGTGTGTGTGTGTGTGTGCGTGTGTGTGTGTGTAAGTGTGTGTGTTAGTGTGTGTGCGTGTTTGTGTACGTGTGGATTCAGTCCATAAAAATCAGTTTATGTATATATATGAACTATGTATATAAAAGCTTTACCATGGTTTAGTAATTAAGTCCTCCGTTGCAGCAAAACTTAGTTTCTGTAACCAGTCCTTCAATGTAGGTTTAAGCTTTCTTAATGGTAAGGTGTAGATATCCAGAATTTTGTTTATTTTATATTATATACAGAGGAACTGCGAACATAGTACTGTCTAGCCGCAAGAGAAGTTTTATGAGGGATGGGTTGACATACTCTATATTTCATGCGTTTGTTTATTATATTGACATCTAAAGGGAGAGAAGAGTGTTTACGTAGTATCAATTGAAGGACATAAAGTTGTCTTACTGTGAGAACTTCACAGTCCATGTACAGCTTAGTAGTTGGATATAGGAACGATTTTTTGGTTATTAATTTAAGGACAGTTCTCTGCGCTCTTTCCAGCTTTAGAAAGTGGGAAGCACAAGCACCACCCCACTACTACTACTGTCTACTTTCTGAATTCTACCGTTGAGGTATGACGAGACAAGTTTCGACGCCTCTCCATTTACACCGTAATGTTCCAGCTTCCTAATAAGAGTAATATGATCAACGCAATCAAATGCCTTTGAAAGGTCACAGAAAACACCAATAGCGTTGTGGGACCTTTCCCAAGCATCAAAGATGTGTTTTAGTAACGCTACCTTCGCATCGCTAGTCGATCTACCACAAGTAAACCCGTATTGTTCACTATGAAAAATATGATTCCTACCGAAATAGGACAGCAATTGAGTTAGCATAACCTTTTCGAATATTCTACTTAAAGCTGGTAAAATTGAAATGGGCCTATAGTTGCTAGGATCTACTTTCCTACCGCTTTTGAATAAGGGAATAACCTTGCTGTATTTCATTAAATCGGGAAAAACACCTTCGGCAACGCACCTATTGAAAGCTACAGCTAAATGTGGGGAAATTAGATGTGCCCCAGGGATCTTCAGTTTTTTTAACATGTATTGCTTTTAAAGCTTTTATGATGTCTTGTGGATTAACATGACGGAAATTAAATAAACTGCCACAAAAGTTAACATTTTCCTTTAGGAGATCAATAGCAAGTGAAGGGGAGGAATTTAATGATTCTGTAGCAATTTGAAAGAAGTTAGAAAGAAGCTGGCAATTTGTCACAATTATACGCTTATGTGATCTTTATCATCAGGCTACGATTCACTGTAAAATTAAAAATCCACATTTAGAAACATTTAGATTGGTTAGTCTTCTCAGGGTGCCTTTGTCGAGAGGGCTTTTGCTGCTGCTTAGTGAACGTGACAATTTCAAGTGTAGGAACTTTATAATTAAACAGAACTAGAATTTAAATTTGAAACAGTCTTTCTGTATAGTTGATAATAGGCAATGACTCACCAGGTGGATAACTGTGGTAATTAACAGTAGTGTAGACAGCGAATGGTGAGGCGAATATAAGCGACACCACCCAAAGGCCGGCGACGATGCGTAGCGCGCGGCGGAGGCCCGCCATTGCGTACAGGTGCAAGGGGTGGCAGATGGCTAAGTACCGCTCCAGGGAGAAAGCCACTATTGTTAGCACGGAGACGTACGAGGCCCTGCAACAATTGCATATTATTAAAAATAAAGCGTAGGTAAGGAAGACGAAGTAAAAGAAAAGACTGGCTGGGAATCGTGTAGACCTTGGACAGGACATAATGAAAAAGAAATAAATGAATGTGATAAGACAATTACTTCAATGACATGTTCACAAATTGTGGAATGTCCTATATTGTGAATACACATCCTGGGCTGAATTAGTAAGGAGCATATAATTACATTTGAGTAAGCCCAAAATTAGAATTACTAGAAATAATTTTATATGACAATCTATGATTATTAGACCTTTAATGTATAATTTAGAAAAGGTTTAAAGATATATTTTAAGCTTTGTTTTTAAGCTGTAATTACCCGCTTGAAGACTAAAAAAGAGTTCCGTCCAAAACTGGAGTTACTGGGTTTTCAAATTTAGCCGACGAAGTGTAATAATAACTCTTAGGGCGCGTTCCCACTATGTCGTCACGTTTTATTATCGTTGGACGACTGTCGTGTCAAGCCTGTTCCCATATCACGACTATCTGCCGTGGACGATTTTTTATCGTTGAACGACTGTCGTGGCTGTTCCCACTAGATCGTGACGACAATTTATCGTTTCACGACTGCCTCCTTGCCGTTTGCACGACAGAATCGCACTGCACTGCAGTCGCTTGTATGTTCTATTGTTCGCTCGAAATGGATGAACACGAAATTTTAATAATGAATTACTTTTTAAAAATGCGGAAGAGGAAGCAAACAAAGAAAAGAAAGTTTTGGGTACATCTAAGGCTACTAAAAAGAATTCCATTAGGGTTATGTCAAACGGTATACGAAGTTGCTTTTTCGGTATTGTCAAAACCTGGGGGTCTACTCTCGATCTCCGTCCGATACAATTACTGCCAAATAAGCAATACTTGAACAAATGAAAAGACGCGTGATGCAAATGAAGCGTCATACTTGATACTTGTCTTTTAATTTTGTCGAATATCACTTATTTGACAGTAATTGTTTCGGGCGGATGTCGGACGGAGACCGATAGTAGACCTCCTGCTACGACCAGCGATGGGACGTGGGTTAAAACCCAATCAACCCGCCCGTGTTTTCACCAGGGTTTTGCCCGAAGCTCCGAGTTTTAACCCATTTCTGCCCAAAATCGTGGGCAGAAACAAAGAGTACAGAATTTGGTATAATTAACCAACACTAACAACATAATATACAATAACTTGTAACTAATTTCTATATTTTTATTACATGAAGAAGAGGCATCTCCACATAATACCCACCATATGTCAATCCCGTGGTTTCTCAATGAAGATCGATTGAAGTGCATACGATCTAACAATTTTTTATATCAAATATTGATGGACTTTTCAAGCGAATCTATTCAATAGAAAGGTAAATCGAACTGTCCAGAAGCAACAAATATTTTGTAATAATATGTATAATTAAATTTGAACAAAACTCAATTCACAACAAATATTTAGACGTAAATATTTTTGCCCTCGAATTCGGGTTTTAACCTTATTTAAAACCGGCGTTAACAAAGCGCCGAGTTAAAACACGGGCGCTTGCCCATCTCTGGCTACGACCCAACGCCACTGCAAAGCGAGCAGAGGGCGCGGGGTACGAGAGGGGAGGGCAGGGAGCAGAATACGTGCCGACAGCGAGAAATAAAACGTTACGACAATAGGAGCTGCGACAATCTGTCGTCACGTTTTCATCGCGACGTTTTTTTATCGTCAGACGACTGTCATTCTAGCTGTTTCCACTGTGACGATAAAAAATCGTGAACGACAGTTAATCGTGTCGTGCTATATGTGAACAACTTCATTTACATATACAAGCCACGACACTGTAAACTGCAGGACAATCTGTTATAAAATGTGGGTTAATCAAGTTGTAGATTTTACACGGACACTACTGCTTTATTTTTCCTTTGTCTCGCGTAAATTCCTCAGGACGTGAGACGATTTTCTAAATATTTATTACGCTTGAAATATTCTAGGTGTTGGTGTATTATGAAATGGCGACAGGTCACAGGCACTATTTGCGATCGGCGAATGCCCCTTAAGCTAAAGGGGAAAATTTACAAGACCATGATTAGACCTGTCATGTTGTATGGATTAGAATGTTGGGCGATGAAAAGTGAGGATGAACGAACTGTGCATGTAGCGGAAATGTGAATGTTGAGATGGATGTGTGGAGTGACGAGAAAGGATAAGATAAGGAATGAGTGCATCAGGGGAAGTTTGAAAGTGGCGCCAGTGACGGAAAAGATGAGGAGTAATAGGTTAGCGTGGTATGGACATGTCATGCGGAGGGAAGAATGTCATGTGACAAGAAGAGTGCTAGGTATGAATGTGGAGGGATATAAGGGGAAAGGAAGGCCAAAGAAAAAATGGATGGACTGTGTGAAAGATGACATGGATAAGAAAGGTGTAAATATAAAAAAGACGGCTGATAGGGGAGAGTGGAAGAAAAATACATGATGTGCCGACTCCACCTAGCGTGGGATAAGGACAGGAAGAAGAAGAAGAAGAAGGTGCATTATGACACGTGTGTAATTTACATATAGCTATAGATGGCTAAGATCTATGTCTAAAATACATCAAAGGGGTTAAGAAACTTTGACTAAACAATTCATATGTTAATAGTGTGTTTAAACAGCACTCAACGAAAATTAGGCTGTTGCTATGGATATTTGGACACCGCACTACGAAGTGTAAATAATATTAATGAAATAAATTTTTATTTGATTTTTAACAATAATTAAGAAAAAAATTGTACGTTACGATTTATGAAAGCCGGTACACAGCCGAACTAGGGTTTAACTTATATCTCAACATACAGCGCCCTATCCCATGGATAACATAATCTTTAGCCAATCAAAGTAGGTGATCTATATGTACGAGTAGAGAGTTTCAAAATGGCCACCGTAAATACGATTTACCGTGAAAAAATGTCAGAAAATTAAATTATTGAACAGAAATTAAAAACTAAGATCTGAAAGTAAGGGTAACTAGGCGAAAAAATTTTCATACTGTAAAAGTAACTAAAATGAGGATTTCCAGGGTAAAAATAACATTAGATAAAAAAGGTTGATATGCGTTCGAAAAGCTTTCTATACCATTTGTCATAATGGCGATTTTAAAGCTAAGGGTTTTCCAGGGTGCCCACAGACCAAAAAGAGAAAAATGTATGTGTTAATATTTGAATAACGTAGACGTAGAACTGTTGCTGTAAGATCCTATTATTCAAACGCAGAAAAGAATAAGAAAATACAATAGCGAAATATTTTAAGTTACGTTTAAGTTAATTTCAAGAAACATAAAAATCAATAGGGCAGCTTATATTTGCTCGTCTTGTACCACCACAATACTCGTTGAATAGCACAGTCTGCAAAAGCACTTAAATTACTAAGCGGATAACTTGATACTGGTGACGTAAGTAAAAACCAGAAAGTAAAAATATGTACAAGAAGTATAAACGTCGAGTTTTGTACAAATACTATCTCGGTGTGTTTTCTAGTTTATTTTCTCATTAAAGTGGGATTAGTAAGTGGGAGATGCCCCCGAATTAGACGCTTATATAAGCACTGGACTGGCGCGGCAGCGTGCGTACGGTACGTACGTTTACTATACTTCGTTTCAATCCATTTTGAACAAAAATGAAACAAACAAGTCATTGACCCGACCATGGACGGTCAATTATACGGCCAATTGAATGAATCGATTTGTTTGAGTCATACAAAATTTCCGAAATGTTAATTTTAAATCATCCTTCAAATCCTTACACTTAGACACTCGTTCGATTGCAATTGAAATTTTCGATTTACTCATCGATTACAAAAACTTTAGTTGAATGAACCTAATATTTTTTTTCCGCACGGCTCTATTCAACCATAGACTTTTTCATACTACGTCACTTTTGGACTACCATTTTTCAAATACGATTTTACGATGTTATTCAAATTAATATTGTTGGAAAAGGTGATGAGTTATCAAGTCGAAATCTTCAAAACATACATGAAAGTGATTGCTTTAGAATTTTAACCAAACCGTTTTGTTTACTTTTCGTAAGTAATGGATTGAAACAGACTATACACTAATTGTGACTGCTTGCAAATGTGTCGCGCGCGTTCGCGATTGCGCTGCTATGGTATAAAGGACTAGGTAATTAACTAAAAAAACAAACTTCAGCGTCACTTGGTTAGTCGGTCAAATATAATATTTAGTAATGAGTTTCATATGTTGTATTACTGCTGTCGTCTTTAATTTGTTCGCATGTTATTAGCTGCCATCTTTTTAAAGCCTTGATTTTAGGCTGTTTATCGTAGGAGAGTTTTTTTTACATTTTTATTTAAATATTATATTAATATCACATATTTAGTAGTATTTTTAAAAAGTAGTTCGAAATATTGTCTATTAAGTGAAAATATTATCGTATATTTAGAACCATTTTCAAAAACTTCATTATAATTTTACAATAAGTAACCAAGTAATACCTCATAAAATACTTCGTTGTGGTTTGTTTACTTAGAACTAATTATCTAAACCAGTGTATTATAATTTTTTTATGAAAATTTGCGTTTCTAATGTGCGTCCTTTTATATTCCATTTTTATTGTCGGTTTATTGAAATAATTGTAGTACAGTTGTGTTTATAAGAATGCTTTCACCATTCCGATAGCTTGAAGAAACCTATTCTTATGACCAATACAGCAGTGATAGCCCAGTAGGATAACGGTTACATTTTCACTTGAGAGGTTTATGGTTCGAATCCTTTTGGCGGCAGCATGACTTTGTTTTCTAAGTTTCGTACATTTGGAAATGCTTAACAGTAAAGGTGAAGCGTCCGTCAAGGATCCTCAAGTGTTCTTTACAAATACATGTAGATCACAATCGTTGGAAAATATGTGAAGTCCACTGTACGCGTTAGTCCAGTGACGGGAGAGTATGACCTAACTACACCCTTTCTCTGAAGAAGCCCGTGTGGGAAGTTTTTTAAGCATATTAATGCTTAAA